TTTTTTTTTTTTTTTCTCCTGTCCTGTTTGTATGACCAGACAAGCAGCAGGAACATCTGTGTGTTCCTGGTGGCCACCTACACAGAGGGGCAGCCCCCGGAGAGCGCAGCCTGGTTCTGCAAGTGGCTGGAAGAGGCAGCCAATGATTTCCGTGTTGGGAAAAGCTTCCTGCAGGGCCTGAGATAGGCCGAGTTCCCCAGCCCGAACACGGCGTATGTGGATCACTACAACACAGTGAGTGTCCCTCCAGCTCCCTGCTTGGCTTCTGCTCCTCAAGAGCCTCAGCTGCATGAAGTGCATCAAACCCAAATGAGGCTGGTGGTCTGTGTGGGAATTGCAGCTGTTGTGCTGACTGGGTGAGGCACTGGGTTTAGGGCTTGGGCAGAATATCAGAGCCATTGAGATTGGAAAAAGCCTCTAAGATCACTGAACCCACTGTGTACCTGATCCCCACCTTGTCCCCAGCCCAGAGTGCTGAATGCCATATCCAGCCCTTCCCTTGGCACTTCCAGGGATGGGGACTCCAGACCTCTTGGGGCAGCCCCTTCCAATGCCTGAGCACCCTTTCCATGGTGAAATTCCTGCTGGTGTCCACCCTGAGCCTCCCCTGGCCGAGCCTGAGGCCGTTCCCTCTCCTCCTGTCCCTGTTCCCTGGAGCAGAGCCCGACCCCCCCGGCTGTCCCCTCCTGTCAGGAGCTGTGCAGAGCCACAAGGTCCCCCTGAGCCTCCTTTTCTCCAGGCTGAGCCCCTTCCCAGCTGCCTCAGCCTCTCCTGGGTCTCAGCTCCTTCCCAACTCTGTTCCCATCCCTGGACACACTTCAGCCCCTCAAGGTTTTTCTTGGGGTGAGGGGCCCAAAAGTACCCCCAGCACTGGAGGTGCTTTAGCAGTGCTGCTGCAGAGGGACAGTCACTGCTCTCCCTGGTCCTGCTCCCACACCATTGCTGGTACAAGCCAGTGCCATTTGCCTTCTTGGCCACCTGGGCAATTCAGCTTTGAAGCAGTTGGATTTCAGATGGGAAATGAGTCCCACAGGCACTGGGAGGTGTGGTAACACATTTGGTAAATCCTTACGGAGATCGTTTCCCAACTTCAAAAGCTTTCTGCAGTCACCTGAGGGCACAGCACTGTAAGCTGCTGCCTTCTAAACGTGGCTCTTTTTTATGATGTGGGTTTTAGCTTTTTATTCTCTGATGTGAACTGTGGCAGTACCTCTGCCTGATCATTGGTCTTACCTCACACAGAAAAATGGCATCACTTGTCACAGGTTATGTTCAGAGCTGGGGCAGTGTGTCACACA